AGTTCAAACATCCTAAGATTACAAACATCTGTATTTCCATATTATTGTTGATAATTTGAACTACCGGAAGAATAATAAAAAAAAAAATGAATAAATTCAAAATGACAAAAATAAAAGGTTTTTATTCAGAAAATTTAAAAAAAAAATCTAAGTAATTAAATGCTTTGAAAGAAAAAATAAAAAAATAAAAATTTCCCAAGTAAAATTGACCGAAAAGGTTAAAAAATATAGTGGAAAATGGCTCAAACAAACCCTTATATTTATAGGTTTAGCGGGGGTATTTTCGTCATATTTTGGAAAAAATATAATAGTAGGGAGTTTTTGTATTTATGTGTAGTACAGGGGGTAAATGATACAAAGTCCATAGTACAGGGGTGTTTTTGTATTTAACCCATATTTATATATTCAACATCTATCAACTTGTACAGGGGATGTTGAATATATAAATATGGGTTAAATACAAAATGGCTAATTAGTAAACATCCCCATTGTTTTCAACTTGACTATACTAGACCTTTTATACCCCTGAGTGGAGAAGAAGAGCGGTGGGGCAGTCAGCATTTGCGGCGGCAGAAGGGAGAGAAGGGAAAAGGGGGAAAAAAAAAAAAAAAAAAAAGGAAAAGAAGTAGGTTGATCGTGCATTTTGTGAAAGAAAAGGAAAAAGAAAAGAAAGTTGCACAGTGATTGGTGGATTGAAACGAAACGGCGCCGTTTCAGATTAAAAGGGGCCAAAAATAAAGCGTAGAAAATAGGGGGGCCATATTTGGGGAGATGGTATTCAAGCTCAGGATCGGAGAGTAAAGAAGGCGGCACAACCATGCCGGCGGCGGGGTACCACGTCGGCGTCGGACCGTCGTACATGCGGGGAGCTGTGTTTTGGGAAAAGAATAAACCACTCACTTTTGAAGATTTTCAGATGCCCCGCCCTAAGGCCAACGAAGTTCTGATCAAAACAAGGCAATATTTTATCTCATTTTTTCTTTATAGGCAAAATCTATATAAATATTTATATATGTGCTATTTTAAATTTCATTGAGGAGTAAATATACAAACTGGAGAAGAAGTTGCTGTGAAGCTGGTGAGTAGACTTTTTCGTCTTCGAATTGGATAAATGGTTTAGGTGTTCAATTCTTGAATGAGACTTATGTCCGGAATTTGCGAATCCGATCATCAACCCCGCCGCCGAAGAATCCATCGGTTGGTTTCTTCACTTTTGCTTCCTCTGTTGCATTTCTAATCATAGTAGTTTAGATTTTGGTTCTTAATTTGTCGTGTATTTGTATGATTTTTTTTTGTCGGAGGGTTTTATGATTTGGTGGATCTATTCGTTGAAGTAAGCGGAACTCAAAAATCTCAGATCAGTAGTGTGGAAATGGTTAAATGTTTGATAAATTAGGGGAAATCTA